AGTTATGCTAATGAGCTCCTGCACCTCTTTTTCTACGAAATGACCCCTGGAGATGGGTCCTATAGGGTCATATGGGTGCAGGGGAAACAGATCTTCCTTTCAGTCCCCCTTGTAATGCACCTACACACTTCAAGGCCAGTGTTTTTAAAAGCTGCCCTGAAGTCTATTTGGCTTTTTAAAAAACACGGTATCTTTAAAGCAGCAATCCCATGATCTTTCTCCATTAAAAAAAAAACTTGTCAAAACTTTCTGCTGTCTTAACTTACTGTGGCTTCTTCAGTAGCACATGCATGCGGTTTATTGAGGCGTCTAGGGAGTGTTCTTTGTTAAGCTGAACAGCTTGTCTCTGCACTGCACATCAATTGAGCTCCTTAATTAAAATTTGCCCCAGTGAGAATTAAAACCAGCACTGCAAAGAGACCTCTTTTTCTTTCCCCTGACGCAGTTCCAAGCCCAGAGGAGGGAGAGCACAGCCTCCGATTGGACAACAACTCTGTTCTGATACTGTTTGCATTTTGTGGCCTGGCTTTCTTCTCAATTATTCTCTCCTTGGGGAAGGAACAGGTTTTTCTTTCTTTTTTTCTTAAAAAAAACAGGATATAATGAGGAATTCTTAACATAATGCTATAATGGTGGAGTTTTCATAGAATCTATAGGGTTGTTGGAAAGAGCTGGGTACAAAGCCTCGATTCCCTAATCTCCTGTTCTTAAAAAAAGGGAAAGGACCATCTATTACGAAAGGAGAATAGCATTTACAATGCCAAAAGATAAAGTTAAAAAAAAAGAGAGAGGAACCACTGAAAAGCTGCAGATTTTGGTTTTGTCTGAGGATATAAGAACATAAGAAAAGCCATGTTGGATCAGGCCAATGGCCCATCCAGTCCAACACACAGTGGCCAAAATCCAGGTGCCATCAGGAGGTCCACCAGTGGGGCTAGAACCCCAGAAGCCCTCCCACTGTTGCCCCCCAAGCCCCAAGGATACAGAGGATCACTGCCCCAGATATAGGGTTCCATCTATACCTTGTGCAACTGATGGACCTCTGATCCTTATGTTTATCCAATCCCCTCTTTAAGCTGTCTGTGCTTCTAGATATCTCTCATTCGGCTTCCATTCTCAACCAGCCTGCATTTTTTTTTGTTTTAAATAGGGATTAAGAAAAATATTAAAAGCATACAGTTCTGGGTGACTATTCTGTTAGAGAATGACCTAGATGGCCCAGGCTAGCCTGATCTTGTCAGGAGCCAGGAGCCAGAAGCTAAGCAGAGTTGGCCCTGGTTAGTATTTGGATGGGAAACCTCCAAGGAAGACCAGGGTCTGCTAAACAGAAGCAGGCAATGGCAAACCATCTCTGAACCTCTCTTGCCTTGAAAACCCTATGGGCTTGCCGTAAGTCGGCCATGACTTAGCAGCACTAGCTACACACAAAGTACCAACATTACATGCTGCATCCAATATGATAGTGAGCCCCACAAGTCAACAGCCATGATGTGAAATTCTGTTAGAGCAGATTGAAAATGGATGCATGTGCATGTGTGTCTATTCCTGCTTAGTTTTTAGAGGGGTGGTGCTGAATTTCATCTGTACTCAGTATTCACAAGCAACACACACAAACACAGGAAGTTGCCTTTTACTGAGTCAGCCCATTGGTCTATCAAGACCAGCATTGTCTCTTCTGATTGGTCTTTCACAGGGCTATTTTTGGGCAGGAACGCACAGGAACGGAGTTCCGGCTGGCTCCCAAGTTGGCCACGCCCAGCAGGAACTCATTAGCATAATAGGCCACACCCAACAGCAGAAACTCATTAAGATTGGCTACATTAGGGGTGTGTGGCCTAACATGCAAAGGAGTTCCTGCTACAAAAAAAGCCCTGGGTTTTGACAACAAACAAGGTAAACAGAATAAGAAGCAAAAGGTGGGTGTGGCTGGATGACCACACTTCTGGTAACAAGGGGGTGTAGCCTAATATGTTAATGTGCTGTGCTGTCAGGGGTGTGGCCTAATAGGCTAATGAGTTCCTGCTGTTGGGTGTGGCCTATTATGCTAATGAGTTCCTGCTGGGCTTTTTCTACAAAAAGAGCCCTGGATATTATCTATTATCTGACCCTTCTAACTGGAAGTGCTGGAGACTGAACCTGCGACCTTCTCCATGCAAAGCACAGTACTTGGGGAGGCCTGAAATGTCCCTCTTGTCTAAACTGGGGCTCCTCCAGTCATGATGATGCCATTGCCACACAGCCAATCACTTTTGGCTACGATGTGTCAAATTTACTGTGAAGTGGGAGCTTTGCTTCTTGCCCTCAGTCCAAATGACTGAATGATTTTGCTCTTATCTGCCGCATCGCCAGAAAAGGATGTTTTCCCACTGTTTGTCAAAGCTTTTGTAAAAAAGTGTCCCTGTTTTGGCCTGGCCCTAGAATGCTGGCCAAATAAGAGCTTTCGAAAGGTCAAATGACCTTTCTTCCCAATGGCCGATTATTTCCAGGAAGTTAGCTTTGAACATTTTCCCAGTAAGAGAGATTTTCATTTTGGTACGTGATGATGGTAGCGCCAGCGCCACGATCTCCCACTCTTTTCCAACCTCTGTATTAGAAATCAGAAATTTAGGACAGGCTGTGCCTTGGCCTCATTCTTGGCCAGTGTTTAAATGCTCCAGGCTTATTATGCTGCTTCAAAAAGCTCTTCAAGATGCACCATGGATCCCCACCTCCCCCAGGATCTTGGGAACTGCAGTTCTGTGTGGGACCTGAGAACCTTCTTTGGGCTGATCCGTATGGCACGCTCTGCTTATTTTCTCCTCATGGCTGCTGTTTTCAGTAGCTACAGTCAGGCCCGTACCTACAGTGGGGCATTTAGGGGTCTGGCCCCCTGACTTCCTGCCAAGGCCCAATGACTTTCATGTAGTTTCCAGGCCCCCAACTCTCTGGGCCACCTGGAGGACTCCCCAC